ATGTGCTTGTTGCGTGTATTCATATAGTGCTTAAGTTTGATGGACTAGAGGTAAATGGGATATATGGATTACTGCTCCACACTCTTATCTTTGTACCTTTTATTAAATTTGTTGGGTCTATCCTAATTTTATTGTATCGTGTTCGGTTATAGTTCGATGAAAATCCCCTGTTACTTGATCATCATGTAGTGTGTACCCACTCACTTAGGATACTGATGCATATGTTATGTCCAGTACATTCGCCAGCTGCAGGGCCACATCCTGGTGATTGGCAAAGACTCCATCACAATATGTGGGAGAGCAAGAAACAGTAGGATGCAATTAAGTTATGATAATTGACACTAGACCTCTTAGAAGCAGACTACATAACTTCTAATGTACTCTCTTTTGAACAGGCATGAGCTGTGATTTTACTATTTAATTCGCACCCAAAATTTGTTGCCATTTTTAAACACTGAATTAATGTGCAACACGTTACATAAAAGTCATACCTTGACAAATATGATGTGAACGAGAAGGGGCTAAATGAGATGGATCTACCACAAGTTGTCTTCTGGGATAGCCTTGGGCCGTTAGGAACATTCTCTTTCGGAACACAAACTTGCTGTAAACCTGCCCCGCCGAGTGCAGTGCAGCAGTGTTGTCTAGACTGGGTTTGTGTGAGGAGCGGTGGTAAGGTACTTGGATCATGGTGCATGGAGGATCTTCTGTCTCTCTCCCACTGAGCCAGGACGTTTAGCTATGTACTCGGGAGCCCTTGAATTAAAGTATGATGACTCTTTCATTTAATTTGTGTTATAATTGCTTCTTTTATTTTTTTATTAGGGTTATCATGACAGTCTGTAGTAACTAGTAGGAGAAGGGTGGGGATTTAAATGAATATCAACCTTTTAATAGCAACAGAGTAAATGTTCTTTGTTATTTCACTATATTATAACACTATACTTCTTAGTATGTGTCTACATTCTTTTCTTATGCATTCTATGAGCTTCATGATGGTACATAGCTTATTTGATAATGATTCTGCACTATTTATTTCTCTTGTGAGAGTAGCTATAGCTAATGTTACCTCATACAGTTTATGCCCACCCAAGTAATAATAAGTATGTATATACATAGATTCCTTAATACACATAAAGTATATCCATTAAATCTAAGCCACTAATCTGTAAGCTCAATTTTTCTAATGCCAGGGCTCTGTTTTGACGATCAGTATGGCCGGGTATTATTGGTAATAGGGGAATTACTCCTCTATTGCCTGGTCTACTTCCCGTCCATGAGTAATAGTATACCTGGCAAATGAGTGGGTAATCATGATCCTCTCTACCGCCTGTAGCAACCATATTACTAATATCAATCTAGTGTGAGGGGTTCTCTCACTGTTCCAGCTAAGAGATGTTAGAGTGCAAGACTAGTGGCTATTCTATGAGAAAAGGAGGAGGGACTGGGGGGATGGGAGGGAGAGGGACGAAGGTGGGGATAAGCAAGAGGAGGGGGCTGATGGGAGAGGTACCCGAGTTGGAGTTCGAGTGAGGGGATTGGAAGGAAGGGAGATTTTTTAGTTGATTGGTATTTCTATTAACCTGATTGATTTCGGTGCATTAGATATTATAGTAAGTCATGTCTATTATGGTGATTTTGTAGGCAGGAGTTATAATAAGTATATTATTAGATAGGGATAGTAAGTCGGCATACCTCCCTATAAGGACTAGGTTCGTCTGTTTGCAAATCGGAAGTATGTGTCTTATGCATTAGCGAGGGGAGGAAGAAGTATGCTTGTGGAGGTGGAGGGTAGCAACGAGGGTCCTGCTTTAATGCAACATAGATGAACAACAAAAAATCATCCCGCATCAGTGGGTTTTGTCTCATTTATAGGGGATTGGAATTAACCTAATTTTGCTCCTGTAGTAGTGTTACCATCAATTCTTATGATGCACTTTAGTTAATTATAGCAACCGCTCCTTAGTTAGTAAGTAGAAATAAATAATATCGAAGCAGACCTTTGTTGAAGTTTTTGCTGGGTAGGAATATTGGCAATGGTGTATTGAATCAGAGAGCCAAGAAGTGCCTAGCCTCTGAACATACTGAGCGTGTCCTTGCGGGTTCTTCTTAGGTCACGTCTAGCCGTTAGTGAGTGTGGCAGTAAGTAATTTGTTCAGTCCTCAGCTCAGGCCGCTCTTTTTTGATAGCCTAATAGCATTATAGTAGTGCTATGTTGTTAATGTAAGTGTAGTAGACGGACCATGGGGATCTGCTGTCATAGTAGTCTTGAACCACGCATTCAACAGTTCCGACCCACAGGTTTATTGAAGATCCCGCAGGCAAATTTAGTTAACGTCTCCGGTGTGTATGCAGTGTGATACTAGTGTAGATATGTAGGGGATGTTTGCCTTCCCCGTGTATTTTTGTAGCGTATCAGCATCTCATGTACTCTTTAGGATGTGTGTGGAGGTCTTTATTTGGGTGGCTCGTCTGTAGACTCAGCGTGCTGAGCCCACCCCCCCCAGCGTCCTTGGGGATGGAAGTGGGTGTTGTAAATAGCATCTGTGAGTTATGTTGTATTGATCATTGGATATTAATGCGCTGTGTATGAGTCAAAGTAGTGTACCTCTTTTACGTCTTCCTTGCATTCATCTCCATCAATCCGAGCAGTTGTCTTGCATAGACCATCCGCGTGGCGTCGCTAGGGGTAAGCGACGAGAGATGGCGGGATGGTTCGAGGGAAGGCGGGCAGGGCGACGGAGCAAGAGTAGTGAAGTGGGGTGTGGGGGGGGGGGAAGGTGCGTGTGCGTGAGGCTAAGGATCCGCCCGCTTGTCTTTTTAGGGAGCGTTGGGTTGGGGGGGGGACGGGAGGAGAGAGGAGAGGAGGGGGGTTCCGGGAGTGGGCACGGATAGTGGGGGAGGGAGTGGTGGAGGGTGCGGGTGCGATGGACCGAGGAGTGGAGGCACCGGGGAGGGCTCGGGGTCAGGCTGTCCCGCTAGAGCTCAGGAGGAAGAAGGTGAGTGTGGGGCCAGCATCCGTGGGGGTGGGACTGGTGAGCGCGAGGAGGCGGGGGATGGCGAGGGTGAGAGGGGCAGATTGGAGGTGGGGGGAGGGAGGGGGGGAACGGGGGGGGGATGTGGAGTGGATGGAAGGGCGGGAAGAGAGAGGAGAGAGGGGAAGGGGGAGATGGGGGGGAGAGGAGGGAGAGGGGAGTAGCGGGGAAGGGTGGGGAAAGGATGTGAGGCGGATTACGGAGGGGGGGTAGGGGAGGACGCGGGTGGCGGGTGGTGGGGGATAGGGAGTCGGGCCGCATCGTGTACTTGGAGGGTGAATGGAGTGCGGGGACGGGGCGGCGGAAGGCGTGAATGAGGGTGATGGAGGGGTATGGTGGGACGGTGGAAAGGGGAGAGTGAGGCGGAGATATGGGATGGTGGGCTGTGGGGTTGAGTTGGGGGGTGGAAGAAGGGAGGGAAGTGAAGAGGAAGGAGAAGAGAAGAAGGGACGGGGGGGAGAGCATGGATGAGGATGGGTCAGGGAGGGGAGGGGAGTGAGGGGTGAAGGAAGGATATAGGGGGGGGAGGTGGAGGTTGGGGATAGGAGGGAAGATGGGGACGGGGATGGAAGGTGGGCCTGAAGGGAAGGAGGGAGGGAGGGGGGGAAAGGGGTAGGAGGAGAATAGGGGGGGTGAGGGATGAGTCGCTGACGGAGACAGTGGTGTCTTTTAAGAAACTGTGCCATGGTCTAGGAGGGCCGAGTAAGGATCAGTTCTGCTCATTTGGCTTTGGTGGTGCGCATCTTTCTGTGACGGGCTTTCGGGGAGACTGTCGGGCCGTATGGTGTGGTTGTGCCTAGGTCTTCCTGATTTTCCTGAACGGAGCCAGGCGGGTGGCTGTTGGCGGCTTTTGTTGGTAAGGATGCTTGCTGCTTCTTTACGGGGCTCGTTGTTGTGAGGGGGTTGGAGAGGGGGTAGTGGTGTGATCGCTGAGAGAAATGGGCGGGGACGCCGGGCCGTTGCGGTTTGGTGGGAAGGTGGTATGCTGTTGTTAGTTTGCTAGGGGTGTAGTTGCGGTGGGGGTCTGGTAAATTGTGGTCACGGGGAAGTGGGAGTTTTGGGCGGGTGGTTGTAGGAAGGGGGGAAGAGAGGGAGAGGAGGGGAGAAGGAGGAGAGGGGAAGTGAGAAGGAGAAGTTGAAGTTAATTATTTAATTCTAGTTTAATTTTAATCTATCTTTTAATATATAAAAGGAGGGTGTCTTTTGTTGGGGTTTTTTATAAATTATCATACTCCTCTTTTCTCTCCTACTATGCGAATAGTGTTCTTGGCTGGACTATAGGTGGTCGGGGGGCCGGAAAAAGAAAGAGAGAGAGACAGGGAAAGAACAAAGGAACGAAAGAAAAGAGAACAAGAAAAAGAAAAAGAGAAAAAAAACACGAAAAGAAAAACGAAAAAAAAAAAGAAGAAAAGAAGAAGAAAAAAAAGAGAAGAGAAAACAAAAAAAAAGAAGAAGAAAAAGAAAGAAAAAAAAAGAAGAAAAACACAGTAAAAAAATCCACAAACAAAACAATGGAAGACCACACACGCAAACAAAAAATAAAAAAAATAATAAAAACAATAACCAACGCCATTCAACCCTCACGCAGGACTACGAACAAAAAAACCCACTCAGACGACGCCCCCACCACAACCTAAAAACAGCCTCCGCACCTCCCAAAACCCCGCCCCCCCACCCTACTCCCCCAACAACACCCCGCCCTACCCGCCCCCCCTCCCACCACACCCCCGCCCACCTACCACAATACACCACCAACCCAAATCCCGCCCCCCCCCCCCCCCCCCCCCCCCCCCCCCCCCATCCCCCTCCAGACCCACCCCCCCCCCCACCCGCCCTCCCCCCACCCCCCCCCCTCCCACCCCGACCCCCCCCCCCCCCCACCCCACCCCCTTCCCAGCCCTCCGCCCCCCCCCCCTCCCACCACCCCCCCCCCCCCACCCCCACCCCCCCCCCCCCCCCCCCCCCCCCCCCCAGGATGGATACGAGCACGCATGTGCTCACACTGAGCATGGCAACGAGTTTGTCAAGAAGGCAGCTTCCTTTGTGGAGAAGCTGATACACGTGGAGCAGAACTATGCCAAGGAGCTCAGGTACGTGTGTGTACAGTGTGGGTGGGGAAGAGATGGGGAAGAGGGAGGAAGGAGGAGATGAGAATGGAGGAGGAAAATGGGAAAGATAAGAGAGAGAATTGTGCTCACATACTGTTGGAGCTTAAAGGGACCGTGGCAGCATAATTATAAGGGCTAAATTTAGAAATTTTATTAAAAATGGAACTCAATTGCACTCTTTCACTGTGCCCCTATTGTTTTGTTCTATCTTTAGTAACATAGCCCTTATATACTGCCACATTCCCTTTAAAGTGTGTCTGCACAAGTTGTGAAAAATTATAGCTGTCACTCCTGTACTACAGGTGCAGTCTATATAGTCCCATTTCATGTTTACGTCTATATCGTCAGTCTATGGACGTAATGTGTTTCAAACTGCTGTTTTTCCCCCTAAGACATGTATTCACGAACCAATGCCATCAGAATGCATTGGTTGTTTCGTATTTCTTTTCCCTCTGTGTACATTTGATAAACATGGTGCCGCATTGGGTAGTTACTGAAATACACATTCTGTGTCTTTTGTTCTGAAGGAAACTTTGTAAACAGTACAAAAGGAAAGACGAGGAGACCTCGAAGTGAGTTTTACACCTTATACCTCCTTCACACACCTTACCACCCAGTTTCTATGTACCATACATCCCTGACCACACCTTACCACCCAGTTTCTATGTACCATACATCCCTGACCACACCTTACCACCCCAGTTTCTATGTACCGTATATCCCTGACCACACCTTACCACCCAGTTTCTATGTACCATATATCCATGACCACACCTTACCACCCAGTTTCTATGTACCATATATCCCTGACCACACCTTACCACCCAGTTTCTATGTACCATATACCCCTGTACAGCTTATAACACAATGCTTATGGAGCCGCTTCATTCACGATAAAGCAATGCTTATCCCATCAGTGTGTATGTTAACGTTCTCTCTCGAATACCCCTTTCTTACAAACACACTCTAATACGTGTATACCCAGACCCTATTCCCAATCCATGTTTGTATATACAGTTTCCAATGGTGAATAGGTGGGCTATATCCATGTCGATATGTAAGCCTTGAGGAGACTTCACTTTCAGTTTATCTTATACACGACCAGTATATCGTGCTCATCGTGCACGTAATTGTATAACCACATGAGAGTTTATGCCGTGTGTGTATGTGTATGCATTAGATACTCTTCTGTGAGGTGTTTTGCTAAGTTGGTGACAGAGACCAACGACCTCGCCGGACAGAGAGAGCTGGTAGCAGAGTACTGGCAGGTATGTGGAAATGGGGAAGTATACATATAATGGCTATATTTAGAAATTGTTACTAAAATGGAAACGGAAACCTTCTGAGATGTAGGGGTGTAAAAAATGGTAAAATTACGTGAAAAAATGCGTTGGCCGGGAGTCGAACCCGGATCTATTGCTTTGAAGGCAACAATGCTAACCGTTACACCACCAACGCTTGGTTGGCTGGGACCATGTAATTGCTATGTTGCACTGTGCCCCATTGTTTAGTTCCGTTACACCACCAACGCTTGGTTGGCTGGGACCATGTAATTGCTATCTACACTTTGCCCCATTGTTTAGTTCTATCTTTAGTAACATTTCTAAATTTAGACCTTATATACTGACACTTTCCCTTAAACGTGCAGTGTGTGTGTGTGTCAATAAACGGCGTAGCAAGCGTATCCTGATGCAGCGGGTCTGGTTTTTACGTGTGTGTGGTACGTAGCTAGTCTGAAGAGTTGCAGAGGTGGTTGCAGACCGCGAAATCGACTACTGTTTTCTTTTTCACCAAAACTACCCCCAATTTCTTTTAGCCAGAACGCATGACAGTAGCGAAGTAGTTCCGTTTTGATGACACAGAACGGAACGGAACGGTTGGTCAGTTCCATATTATGGTAACTGAAACCCTTTCGACGGATGCCGTGTACATGTATATAGCTACATTTGTGTGCAGTCGCACATACATACGTATTATAGTGGTACTGAGGCTCATTTCTCTAGTCCCATTGCTCTAGTCCCATTGCTCTAGTCCCATTACTCTAGTCCCATTGCTCTAGTCCCATTGCTCTAGTCCCATTACTCTAGTCCCATTGCTCTAGTCCCATTGCTCTAGTCCCATTGCTCTAGTCCCATTACTCTAGTCCCATTGCTCTAGTCCCATTGCTCTAGTCCCATTGCTCTAGTCCCATTGCTCTAGTCCCATTGCTCTAGTCCCATTGCTCTAGTCCCATTGCTCTAGTCCCATTGCTCTAGTCCCATTGCTCTAGTCCCATTGCTCTAGTCCCATTGCTCTAGTCCCATTACTCTAGTCCCATTGCTCTAGTCCCATTGCTCTAGTCCCATTGCTCTAGTCCCATTGCTCTAGTCCCATTGCTCTAGTCCCATTGCTCTAGTCCCATTGCTCTAGTCCCCATTGCTCTAGTCCCATTGCTTAGTCCCTGCTCTAGTCCCATTGCTCTAGTCCCCATTACTCTAGTCCCATTGCTCTAGTCCCATTGCTCTAGTCCCATTGCTCTAGTCCCATTACTCTAGTCCCATTGCTCTAGTCCCATTGCTCTAGTCCCATTGCTCTAGTCCCATTACTCTAGTCCCATTGCTCTAGTCCCATTGCTCTAGTCCCATTTCTCTAGTCCCATTACTCTAGTCCATGACTCATTCATCTATACTGTGTTCTGTACTGTATACAGAGGCTCCATTTCTATTTTAATATGAATATTATATCTGAATTGGCCAACTTATTACTCGTTCATCTTATTGGGATCAAATTTACCCCACATACAGTATATAGCATTAACTCTCTAAGCAGTATGATTAGTACCAACTGGCGTGATTTTTCCTCGCTTTATCGTCTCTTGATTTTGTGTACTTGTATGATCCCATACCAAACATCACCGGGATATATTTGTCGTTACGTCCGTTCTGTCATGGTCTCATTCCGGTTCCACCAGGCTGAGGTGCTGGACCAGATGAAAGTGGTGATAAAGGACATAACGGCTGAGAGGAAGACCCACATGATAGAGGGGGCGAAGAGAATCAACGAACTGAAACTCACAATGGACCAACTGGACAAAGTGGGCCCCCTCAGTGTTCTTACTCCACATCCCTTCTACCTTCCTTCCTTCCTTCCCCTATCCTCCTTCTCTTGCTGAGTACTCTTCCTTCTACTCTCGTGTCGCACATTCTCTCACTCAGCCTCCCCCCTTCCTCAGCTTCCTCTCTATCCTTCTCTTTCTCCCATTCTCTCCTTCCTCCCCCCTTCCTTCTTCTCCTCTTCCTTCTCTGTTTTCCTCTCATTGTACCTTTCCATATAGCACCTTTGTTTTGTTCTGTTAAAGTGTATAAAATCAATGAGAAACCATCTCCATTTCCCATTACACTCTGTAAACCTGTCCCTCATAATTACCTCCGTATGCCCTGTGTCTCCCCTCTCTCTCTCTCTCCCCCCTCTCCTCCCTCCCAGGCTAAGAAACACTATGAGAGGGCGAGCGAAGAGGCAGAAAACGCCCAAAATGCTCTGGAGAAGGCAGACAATGATCCCAACTCTACCAAAGCTAAAATCGACAAGGTAAGCATCCTACTCAAGTGCAGCTTCAATTAACCTTCTTTTGGGTATAGTTTCCCGGTGTTTTGTAGCTGTGTAGTTTTGTGTGTGCTTTTGTGCTGTGTTTGTGGTGGGTATGGATTTCACATCTTATACATGTGTCTTCTACCACAAACGTCAAACCAAGCCTATCTTCTATTTGTTCATGTGTCCAGTTGACTCAGGTACTAATATTTGTTCATGTGTCCAGTTGACTCAGATATTAATATTTGTTCACGTGTCCAGTTGACTCAGATATTAATATTTGTTCGTGTGTCCAGTTGACTCAGGTACTAAGAGCAAAGGAAGCGGCCGCAGAAGAGAGCAAAAACAACTACATACTCCAATTAGAGAACACCAATTTGAAACGACGACTTCACTACAATTCAGAGATGCCTCAAGTTTTTCAGGTATGTTTGACATACTGTATAGTGTTTGACTTTACTTCCTTCATCTCCGCTTCTCTCCTTCTCCCTCCTCCGCCCTCCTCCCTTCTCCCTCCTCCCCTCTCCTCCCTTCTCCCTCCTCCCCCCCTCAGAATATGCAGGACATGAATGCCAAACGGATGGAGAGATTTAGCTCGCTAGTGACGCAGTGTGCAGAGTGTAATCGCCGGGTGTTCCCCGTCGTTAACACCTGTCTCGACAACGTGGTGCAGGCTTCGGCCGCCGTGGACCCCGTCAAGGTTTGTTGGTTGTTGGCGAGCGAAGCGAACCTATACCTAGTCGTCTGAATGGGGTATGTTTGTATAATAATATGACGGGCAATCATATACCGTAATGTTGTACCATAATGTTGTAAAGAAATAGCTGTCCTGGATGTAGTCGACTTGTTGCCTTGCCTTTCTACCTCGTTACCAAGTTGTTGAGACATGATTCTAAATATGTGCGAAAAATTGAACGGCATTCCAAATACTCGCGAAAAATTTTTTAACTGTTGACACGTGTTCTCCGATGGCATTCACTCTAGTTATCTGAAAAAGAGAAAAGTGGTCGAGGAGGAGTAGGAATAAGGAAGTTAGGGAGGGGGGAGGGGATAGGGGGAATGGAACTATGTTATACGTATGTATATAGGTGCATTGTGCAATTATTGGACTGCAGTTTGCAGTGTTGCGATTTCTTGCCGTTTTCACACAAGCGTGTTTTCCATTGAAGTACTATAGGCTGGATATTCCATGTTGTGGGTGGATAGTGAGGGGCAGATGATGAGTCCATAGTTCAACTGACCACTCTCTCCTCACCTCACTACCTTGATGTGGTGTGTGTATGGAGGAGTGGAGGGTGAAGAGACACTCGCCCCTATCTGATGCCCACCACCCAGTCTGCAATAGCACTTACACTGAAAAAAAAAAGTGGGAGATTGTTGGTGGTTGTTACATAAGAACTGGATGGGTAAATGGTATTATTGCCAAGTGCCTTAGTGCGAGGCACCTGAAATCTGCAGAATGGTCATGCTGGCACCATACAGGGTAACTTTGCCTCCCACCTCACCCGTGAACCGCACTACGCACGAGCTGATCGCACTAACGCACAGCATCTCTCCTCCTCCTCCTCCTCCCTACCCAGGACAACCAGCTGGTGATTCAGGAGCGGAAGACTGGATACCCCATCCCTGGAGATGAGGAGTTCCAGCAGTATGGACCGAAGAAGATAAACAGGAGAAAGCCCAAGAAAAAGGTGAGCACAAGTCACAAGAATTGATAATCAACTGCTGACATATAATGTAACCACAAAATGCCACAGATTTTTTACCCACTGATAGTTGCTACCATAGGCCACAGGTTTTATACCCACTGTACTGCAGTTAGTTGCTACCATAGGCCACAGGTTCTATTACCCACTGTACTGTTAGTTGCTACCATAGCCACAGGTTTTATACCCACTGTACTGTAGTTAGTTGCTACCATAGGCCACAGGTTTTATACCCACTGTACTGCAGTTAGTTGCTACCATAGGCCACAGGCTTTATACCCACTGTACTGTAGTTAGTTTTGTACCCACTGTACTGTAGTTAGTTGCTACCATAGGCCACAGGTTTTATACCCACTGTACTGTAGTTAGTTGCTACCATAGGCCACAGGTTTTATACCCACTGTACTGTAGTTAGTTGCTACCATAGGCCACAGGTTTTATACCCACTGTACTGTAGTTAGTTGCTACCATAGGCCACAGGTTTTATACCCACTGTACTGTAGTTAGTTGCTACCATAGGCCACAGGTTTTATACCCACTGTACTGCAGTTAGTTGCTACCATAGGCCACAGGTTTTATACCCACTGTACTGCAGTTAGTTGCTACCATAGGCCACAGGTTTTTACACTGTACTGCAGTTAGTTGTACCTACACATATACATGTATGCAGTTTACACATAGAGTTTTATACCCACTGTACTGCAGTTAGTTGCTACCGTAGGCCACAGGTTTTATACCCACTGTACTGCAGTTAGTTGCTACCGTAGGCCACAGGTTTTATACCCACTGTACTGTAGTTAGTTGCTACCATAGGCCACAGGTTTTATACCCACTGTACTGCAGTTAGTTGCTACCGTAGGCCACAGGTTTTATACCCGCTGTACTGTAGTTAGTTGCTACCGTAGGCCACAGGTTTTATACCCACTGTACTGCAGTTAGTTGCTACCATAGGCCACAGGTTTTGTACCCACTGTACTGCAGTTAGTTGCTACCATAGGCCACAGGTTTTGTACCCACTGTACTGCAGTTAGTTGCTACCATAGGCCACAGGTTTTGTACCCGCTGTACTGTAGTTAGTTGCTACCATAGGCCACAGGTTTTATACCCACTGTACTGTAGTTAGTTGCTACCATAGGCCACAGGTTTTATACCCACTGTACTGTAGTTAGTTGCTACCATTCCACTAAAACCTTCTGCAAATTTGGGTACTAGTTTGCCGTGCATGCTGGTCGACCAAGAAATTAATAACATGTAATCCTGTGTCGATGTGTGGAGTGCTCTGTGACGTGTGTGACGATGTGAGGAGTGTGAAGTGTGATGAGGAGAGAGTGGTGTGTCGATGTGTGGAGTATTCTGTGACGCGTGTGACGATGTGAGGAGTGTGATGTGTGTTGTGTCCTGCAGGTGGAGCCACGGCCGGATTTCAGTCATCTTCCCCCTGAGCAGAGGAGGAAGAAACTGGCAACTAAAGTCAACGATTTCGACAGCCAAATTAGCAAGGCCACTGCAGACAGGTGCTAAATCAGCCGCTTTTTTCTCTCCTCTCCCTCCCTCTCCTCTCCCTCCTCCCTCTCCTCTCCCTCTCCCTCCCTCCTTCCTCGCTCCTTATTCATGCCACTGGCAAAAAATAGTGGGCATGCACCTTTTTGCATATCGCATCACACAAGGTGTTTTTCTGCATTAACACTTTTGCGTGCCACGCATAGAACAGTGCGATCTCTCTGCGTTTGCGGAAATACACATGCACGCAATAATTGCCACACCCTTCCACGTGTAGTGCGTAATTTCGTGCAAAATGTGGTGTATTATGCGCGTGCCATTTGAGTGCTTGAGCTGATTTTGTCACCTATGAAAGTAAAAGTCAGCCCTGCATATTATGGGCGTGGGGGGTGGGCAGATGATGAGTCCATAGTTCAACTGACCACTCTCTCCTCACCTCACTACCTTGATGTGGTGTGTGTATGGAGGAGTGGAGGGTGAAGAGACACTCGCCCCTATCTGATGCCCACCACCCCGCTGTGCCTTGTGCCTTCCCCATTGCCCCATTACCTAATGTGGCACAACGTTGTTGCGATAGGCAAAGTCTTGTGCCACCGTCACTGTTTGAGTACTATGGGTCCTGTACATTGCGCGTGCAACACATTGCATGGACCCTTGGTACCCATACATCGAAGTGAAGGCAACAAAGTTTCACTGTTAGGTTCACCTTTACTGAGGGAGTTTTTTGTGGCTCATATACTTTCTTTATCGATCCCCTCACTCCTCCCCTCTCCATGCATCTCTTTCCCTTTTCCTTGCTCCCATCTTCCGTTCCATCCTTCCCTCCCTCCTCCCTCCTTTCCCTCCGCCCCTCCCTCCTCTCTCTCTCTCTCCCTCTCTGACTAGGACGGCCATGGAAAAGATGCAGAATGTCTACAAAGAGAATCCAAAACTCGGAGATCCAAACTCACTCGGTCAATCCCTCGAACAGACGAGTCAGAAAATTGCCGCACTCACTGAAGAAAGAGACAAATTCGCGGTATACATTTACATCATCATACTATACCGTATATACATAGAAGATTACCTTCATTCAAGACACCGTGTGGTATAAAATGCTTTGAGATTTAAAAGTGTAGAAGATATCCAGTTCGTTTATATTTTATGTATAAAGGTGATTGAGTGTACGAATTGAACCACAATCCATCAAACAATACATCGGGACACTTTCACTATAGTACATACTCCACCCTCCTTCCTTAAGTGTTCTGTTACTTCAGACGTAGGAGTCCATATATTTCGTTGTCGACTTGCTTTTTCACATTAGCCTAATCACATGATATTCAAGACCAAAATAACGATGTGTTTGTGTATTCCCTGGTAGGCATGGTTACAAGAGGCCCACGATAGTCTGTTGAAGGCATCCCAGGGCCAACAGGGAGGGGCTTCCCCGCGGCCGTCCCCAAAGAACAAGAAGAAGAACGACAAAAACGGGAAGAGTGAACCGGTTCCAGCACAGGTGTGTTGAGGTCTCCTTGGTCTTTCTTCTATGTGTAAACTTTTCCTTCTTCGCCTCAGCTTTTTATATTATGTTATTTGTATGCTTTTCCATGTGCTCCCTACTCGGGTTCATTTCCTACGTTAATCATGCTTTCCTTTTCAATTCCTGCTTGTTTCTGGAGACGAGCCTTGGGCAAAAGTCCAACGACCTCTGCACAGCCTAGCAACTAATAACTATACTTTCGTAGCAAAGCTTTTCATTTTCCTGTTTTTTTACCATTCAACTAGACTTTCGTAGCAGAAAACTTGCATGATTCACACAAAAGCAATGTTTACAGATATGTATTAAACTTTAACCCCTGATGTGACCACACCCACCTCTCTCTCCCGGCTCTGCAGAAGGCACAGGCCGCCCCAAACCTCGCCCGTATCGTCTCCGCCTGACGAAGGGCGGAGTCGTTCTCCGGCCAGAGAGGAGGAGGAAGGGGAGGAGGAGGATGAAGAGGACGGGAGAGAAGGGGTCGTTATTTATGACTTTTCACGTGAGTTTACCATCGTACGCCACTTGAGGCGCATAATTTTCATTGTTTTTAGTTGTACCGTAATTTCAGCCCGTGACTGATATGAGTAAAGTAGAAGGTAGTAATCCAATCGCTGAATTACAGCAAGATAGAAATATTTTCACTTCAAAGCTGGTCGTATTTGACCACCCCAGTCGATACGGGGGGGCAAACCCACACAGTACAACTCAACTTAAAACGTAAAGAATTTACAACAATTTTTCGGCCCCTCAGATTTTGTGGGCGGGGTATGTAAATTTGAAACTTGAAATAAGGTCTATCCACGTTTTTACCGGAATCTTTTTTTACATAACAACCGTTGTGGTATACTGACGCTTTAGTACGCACACTGCACATCACGGTTTTACAGTGCTTTAGCCTCCTATTCGGCCCTTAACTTGATTTGGCATATGACTAGCTCATCCTATACGTATATAAACATGACATATACCCATTTCTTGCCATATCACATGTCACATGTATTAAGTATCCACATGATGTTTGGGGGAAAACTACATTACACTGAAGACACTATCTGACCTATATGGTCCATTGGTTAATATACATGTGTTTTTGTATCAGATTATGGGTATGTAATAAAGCTGTTATGCTGCTACATGTAATGCGTCGTGGATTGTTTTGTGGATCTTTCCCCTGAGCCGTGTGGATCCATAGGTGTATGCCCACCCAGATTGTAGGATGCATGTGCGTTTGTACGTGTCTGCAGCAGAATGGTACGTCCTGATGGGTGCGGTTTTTTGGGGTACGTGTCTGCGCAGAATGGCGTATGTGCTGCAGTGGGTCTCGTCTATTCCACACATGGTGTCTGTTTAGGCCATCATACATCATACCCTAACATTGTCAAGTGCAGTGCACTTTGTCTCGGCAAGCCAGAAGTTGCACAAAAATCGCTCAAATACATAGCCTTTTCAGTCCTGGGTTGGCTGCTTGTATCAGAGCTAAAGCACAGTTCTTGGGAATTGGTTGAATGTTACGTCCAGTAGATGGCATTGTCTAGTGGGGTGACATTTTAGGGGCTAAAGCAAGTTCTTGAGGAATTGGTTGAATGTATTTAGTAGTCCACATGGGTTGTCTCGTTGGTTGATCTATGGATAAATTTTACACATTACCAGACTTGTATCCTGTCGGCATGCGCATTTCTGTGGCAAAACGTTGTGTTGTTCAACGAAAAGCTCTCCATTCTTGCACTTGCTGCATGTCTTGACCGTGCAACACATCGCAGGCACTGATAGGACCTTGTCACACCCACTAATCATACTTCGTGATCAAGCCCTAGAACAGGCAACCATATAGACCTTTGAGGCATAAACTTGTTAGCGCAGTCTAAAAGGCAGCAAGCAAACAAATCAACTAAACACCAGGACAGCCTCTTCCTTTCAAAAAGAAAAGAAGAAAAGAAGACCCTGGGTGGGTTCGACCCACGACACTCTGCAACACACCACAACCCCACACACCACAACACCCACACACCACACACCCGTCTAGCAACGCAAACCTAAATGGCTACTGAAACCCGGACCACAATAACGTATCTACCAAGTCCCCGTCTCAATTGTTGCGATTTTTATATAAAATAACTGACTGACTACGTGGGACAGATATTGCAACGCGTGTGAAACCTCACGGCGAGTAGTTCAAAGTCGGCCATAATAGTGCTTTCACTTTCCAATTGCCTAGTCTTATACCAATACTATATACACTATCCCTACATAGCCCCATACATCTATGATGCACATAGGTACCAAATGACCAATCCTAAAACTACATTACTACCGTACTTAGATGATTAGAACCATTTCGATAAAGGCGAAGTTAGAAAACCTATGAGATTTGTCGGTGTACCTCCTAAAATGACATCATCGTCCTCACTACCTCACCGTGCAATAGAGGTGGTGTAATGTTCAAAAGTCTGAAGTTAGGTCACCATTCCATATCCCCACGGAGTTTGCTAATAGGAAATAACAATTGACAAGCCCGAGGAAAAATCATGATGAATCAGTTTGCTATAATGGAAGGCGGGTAAAACATTGTCCATCGTGCCACTCCACGGATTATTTATTTCGATAACAATCAGCACGTGTCCGTGTCTGACTGCAATTTTTAGTGTAATAGGCGGAATGCACGTCATGAAATTGGCGGCTCTAGCGACACTCGAATATTCCAACACATAAACCCACAGTACCATCGGTCACTCCATCTTGAGACAGAGTCGAACCGCTCTAAACGTCTTCACGAAACCGTGTTTAACCGGGGGGAAAACAGCTTTTATATCTACCGTCGTTCAGCCGAGGAAAATCAATGATTTTACAATACCGTGTGGTGGAGAGGATATTAGAAGGAGGAAATATTTCCCAAACTGTTTTCCACAAGACAGATAATAAAGGAAAGGGTTATAGTGACCAATAACCATTAAGTGGTTCCACACCCTACGCACTTTCAGTCGATCCTTGAGCCTCTACACCACAACACACCCTTGCCTGGATTATTAGTGGAGACAGACCAATAACATGCAGACTCTAACACGCGAATTAGAGCCACCGCTCACACAACCAAACAGATTGGGCTTAAATTAAATACTTGCTCTAAAGTGGAGCGAGACCAAGAATGATGGACTCTACACAAGCGTGCAATACATCGTCGACCTGTACCATATACAACAAAAACCACGACATTTTTTATTTAAAGGGAATGTGGCAGTATCACATTTTCACATCCTATAGTATCTACATAACATATCAAGGCTAAACCAATGAATGGTACTAGTAGAGCGAAGCATGGCAATTTTTTGGCGAGCGGACAGCGAGCCACACATGACTGTAATCCTCAACTAAGCCATCATAGCCTATTTACAACTTGAACCTTAGAACCACGAAGAGTTGAGAGAGAGGTATTCTCACAGCAGTCGGTCAGGATGAAGAGCGCAAGCGAATGCCAGCGAATAGACGAGCAGTGTCTTTCGCTGAGGTATTCGCATCGATATGACAGCTATGCAAGCGTGAAAATAATATGCACGCGTTCCCTGCTCAGAGAATCTCACGACACGATGATTCTCTTTCCCCATCTCTCTACACGCCTCTCTTCGCCGACGAATGGCATCCTCATCATATGATGCGAGCTACACACCAACAACACAGCAGAAAGAACACGCCTAAACACATCATGAAATCATTTTACTGGATAAAAAGAAGCTCTAATCTCCTGCTGCGCACATTACCACGACCGTACGCGGTTGTATATAATATATAATTATAGAAAAAAAAAAATCCGCGCCGTTTGGACCACTAGGTTAGCGTCAGCTCCCGCTCGCCAAGTAGTGGGGCGCGTTTCTGTACCTTGTACATGGACGTGTATGGTCTTGGCAAAGCATTGACTGTCGTAATGCATGACATAACATACTATCCCTCCACACCTTGATCCATGATGTGTAGTTAACTTTACCCTGTGGACATCGTAACTGCACATATATCCGGACTGTAGCAGTAATGGATGGAAGACGAAACACGCGTAGGCACCCGTGGTACGACAACAAATACTGTTTGAATTCCGTCGTACACTCTCGCCCTAAGTGGTCCAAACCCCATTAGCATCATGACCCACGACACATGGGAGTGTCTGCTCTGTAACTGTTGACTGCAGAGCGCTGCACGAAAATACCATGCGACGTGTGAATCCCATGCGTGGGTGATCTGCAGTGCATCACACCAGCTAGCTCTGAAAGGGTGTTATCTTTGGAGAGTTGTCACCTCCTTCAGAGGCTGTGTCCATTGGAGCGGTGTCCTCATTTCAGAGGGTGTCCTTCGAGTGAGGAGTCCTCATTTCAGCGGGTGGTCTTAGAGAGGTCTGGTCCTCATTTCAGGGGCGTCCTTAGAGAGAAGGGTCTTCATTTCAGGGAGTGTCCTCTAGACGAGAGATGTATCATCCACCGAGCGTCGTGTGTGTAAAAATGTGACTGAGATTGACGGAGAATTAACGGTCCGAGTGGCTCGCAACGACAGGGATGGTCGAGGTCGCCGACGCGTTCTCTCTGGGGCCATCTTTCGCGAAATTGGCGAATGTACTTACCATCAGTAATTCGATTTATCTCTCTTAGCCACCTGACTCAAAGACACCATTGTTGCAAAAATGTTCATTCATCATGCTGTTGTATTACGCCATAGCAGGAATCATTGGAGAAATGACTATAAGTGATAGTGCCAAAAGCCATTTCGCATATATATTTTCGCATTTTCGTCAACATGTCCCATCCACAACTTTCATGCAGACAAATTATATTTTGTGACTCATGCTATTTTACGGATTGTCCATCCCTATAAAATATTCTGCAAGGGTTGATTCCCGCCCCGTCTTGCACGATAAAAAACGGTCCCAACCACAAACAATATAGTGGTCGGGAAAGGACCTTTTGCGGATTAGAAAACCTATATGGAGGAGGTTCAAAACTGTGAAATAGTGCGAAGATGTTCTTCCTAACTACAGAGGAACCCTCCTCAATTACCAACTCTTGTACCGAGTTGAGAGGTTAAGTAGAGGGGACACGCTCTAATTCGGGGCTTTGTTTGGGACCCACGATAGCGTGCCATGTCGAGTGGGTTAAACATCACTCCTGTTTGCTCAGGTCATCAGGCATAGGTGGAATGTTCGCGATGATCTGCGGCATCCCCAAGATTCTTCTGAGTCTATTTCATCTCGCTCGGCAGGTGACAGACTCTCTGTTTGGCAACATGTACGGTGTCTCCATCTTTCACTCAACATTAGAGTCCTTTTTGGTTCGAGTAGTCACGTGCGCACAGTCACGCATCTGGCCCTGTGTCTGTGTGTGTGCATACTGAGTGAGAGGATTATACTGTGCCATATCACAGTGGTTGGAGGTGTGCCTGTGTGTTGATGTTAGTGTATGTAGATTCGAACCCCTACCTCAGCTGAGTTGCCGTGGTAGCACTCCGTGGTAGAGCGCTCGCCTAGACTGCAGAGTGTCGTGGGTTAGCTACCCACCCAGGGCAGCTCTTCTCTTACTTTCCTGTCTTGAAAGAAAGAGCTGTCCTGGGTGTGTAGTAGACATTTGTCAATTAGCCATGCCTGCCGTGCTACCTCGCTACCAGTGTTGAGGACATGGAAACGTGTCTACGAAAAGTCAGCAGACTCTTGAGTGCAAAGATAGAGTGATGCAAGTCATGTATAAACTGGGCCTGAAACCTGATAGCCACATACATAATGAGGCTGCACGTTACAGGTTAAATAGCTTTGTGCTGTGTAGTTTGGTGGTGGGCTTACTATGAAACAGCAAGAAAAAGTCCCTGGGGCCACTCGCAAAATTTTTCCCTTGCCACTCTCTTTTGGCATCGAAGTATATACCTACATGTACAGTACAGAGTCAAAAAATTGTATATACATATCTCAAAGTGTGTTATAATAGTTTGTGGCGTGTTGAGGTTTATAATGGAATTGTGGTAAGATAAACAGCATTAGTTGTCGACTGGTATCCAGGGGAGTGTCTTGGTAACTGCGTAAAGGTGCCCCCACCTATTCATCAGGTGTGTAGGTGGAAGGGAGAAAGAGAAAGAGAAATGTCATTAAAAAAAACGTATGGAGTAGTGTTTTGTCGGCCTGTCCTTGTAACCATGTGATAATTGAGGTGCCCATTTCCATGGCAGTAGCTTAGAACCATGATGTCATGTGATTGTGCCGTGACATTACTCAACTAAGTGTCATCACTGGCCTTGGAAGTGGCACGTTGAACATTAAAACGGTGTGGTACATATAGCTGTGTTAAAAACAGGGTCTTCAAATGATTGTACCATATATGGCATTTACTCAAAATTAGTGTCATCACTGGCCTTGACGTGATAAACGTAACAAAAGGCGGCGTACACGTAGCTTCAAACAGACAGGGTCTTCATGTGATGCAAGCTTCATCCGTGCCACGTGAGTAATCCACATAGCTACGGTGGGGGAGTTGAATCAGCGGCGGTAAAGGCTATTTCTGGCAACTCTAGTTGCCTGGACCCATCGTAAGGTATGATAGGAATGGACTATATTGGCCATGCTATGGCACGTGTGGCTTGATGTGGGTTTCAGTGTTTCCTCACTTGTGGGTACTCTCTTCTCCGTTTGAGTGTCCACACATATGCACACAACACAAGACGCATGCACTGACACACACACACACTGACACCCACACACACACACGTAAAGGTTACATGTACATTTAAGCACCTGCATGCGGTGACACCGACAAAAGCCGCCCACCCTCTCTCGTTAGCTTTAGTCCTGCCTACACTTTACCTCTCTCTCTTCTTTTCCCAATCACAAAACACACGCACGCACGCAAATGTAGCTACCCAGAAGTTGTGATCCCTCTGACTTACAGTACAGCAGAGTTATAATAGGTGACTTAGTTGTAGTTGTGGTGTAGTGTGGTGGTACAGTGGTGGTTACACACGTAACCCGTAACATGACCGAGATAGGTGACATACAATATATAAACAGCCAGTCGGTGCTGTGGTCGATATTAGTTCCCTTACATAAATACCGCAACATTCCTCTTACTTTCGAGGCCGATGGGCACTTGTCACACACAAACACGGATTTCTCCCGTTTTTATTCGCCGCATCTGTCTTTTTAAGGGAACGCATTGGTCGTGCATGAGTTTGTCATGATAACACAAGTAGTATATTTGAGTGCACGGTCGGACCTAGAGCAATTGATGTTCACAGAGAAACATAGTTAGTACAGTATGTGTCAATGTTTCATAGACTGTAGATGGCGTTGGCGGTGAAGAAAGGGAGGTGGAGCGGAAACAAAGTATTTATGTGTGCAGTGTATATATTTTCTAAAATGTCAGCTCTCAAGACCACTAGAATTATTATGAATATGTCAAAGTGATCGCCACGATGCCACTTTGCACACGGAAATCAATATACTACTCTAATGACACCAGTCTGTAGTCGGACACTACTCTACACTCACAAAACAGCTGTCGACAAACATTATTATTTCTGTAGTTCACAATTGTGAGTGACTAAGTGCTTTGGCTGGTGCGGGCTGATGACGCTAGCGTCTTTCTGAGTAGTATAATGTACCCAATAATAGATAACAGGAGAGATTGAGAACATGCAATAGAGATCTGGGGTGTGGTCGTGTGTGTTGCAATCATGTTTGCATGTGACATGTCTCATAGTAGTCACCATGTGATTACAAGGGGAGGCCGTAGGTTACTGCACATTGTTATGAATACAGGATGGTGTGTACGATTGATGCTAAGGTACATTTTAATAGCTACCCATGGAGTACAGTATTGATACGTAACTTCATACGACCAGTTTCGAGTAGCGACTCCGCTGGCATCTCTGTGAGGTCCAATATAAAAACACTTTCCACTCTGACCATTCTCCCCAGTATGTGCTTGTCCGATTTAGTAAAACCCTAAACGAACTGACTACCCTGGAGAAACGTATCCCACCCAATGCATGCCACTATCTCAGACGAATCTTCCTCCCCTGGTAGCTGCCTATTTTAACAGTTAGAGATACGCTCTGCTTGTCTACTGCAACGTTGCCTTCTCACTGTCCGTAAAAACGACAGGTTCAGACTACTGCGACAACATGTTTGTGTTCCTCTCGTGTTTAGAAACTGGCCTGCACTCTCGACAATGGTTCAAACACGACGCTAGGTTTTCTGTTTAATTTTCACACTGTGTGACAATCCAATCACTACAAACTCACACGTAGTTGTGCAACGTGATCAGTTTAACGGTTTTGCTACTGCATTAAGCCCATGTTTGCAGCAGAACGGCATTCGTTTATATCGTAAACTGTATATATGTACATGCACATCTGTCACCTGTGCAATTTAGGCGGTTGTGAGTATATGCACGATTCAGCCGCACAGAGAGTGCAAGACACATGTGTGATCAAAAAGTCACGCTAACATGTTCCCCATATCCCCAGCCTCTCTTGCCATACACTCAGATGTGGACCTGTATTATGGTCCCTGGGTCCATTTACCAAGATTAGGTATAGTAGTGCACAGATAATATAGTGTGGAGTCTGGTGCGGTACTCTCTAAGGGGCCACACACATATGATGATCGAACCTTTCTAGGTGCTGGGTAGTACGTCTGCAGCCATAGCCCTCTGCTAATGTGTTTATTGGGGTCGTGGTGGCGATGGGGGACAGGTGTCGTGGGTACAGTGTGACTGGGTCGCTGTGTCACACGGTATGTCAGCATGACAGCGCTGTGCCCTCGGTGTAATCAGTGTGTGTGTGTGTGTGGTGTAGTGTGTAGTGTGCAGTGGGTGTGTGTGCGTGCAAGAGAAATGTGGAAACACAAGGTGATATGTTGAACTCTCCTTCCGCGCACAGGAGCGCGCGCGCACGCAGCGCGCGAAACGCAGCGACAGATTTAGGGACGACGCGCCCACAGCGCGAGCGCGCACGCACCTGCTATACTTCCTTCCTTCGATCTCTCTCCTCCCTACCTATCGTCCCTCTCTCCTCACTCCACTCTAGCACAAACGGATAGCGAACGACTTACGACAGTTGATGCAAACGACAAAGTGATTGAGAATACAGGACCTTGAGATGGTGGCTGCGCGTGAGGAGAAAGGACATTATGAAGAGGGTATGTGATCCCCAGTCACCTACGTCTAATATCAGTGGATATAACCCTTCGATAGGATACTTATGTGTTTTTTAAAACACTACATACTTCTTAATCTGCATATGCTGTTATGTTGGACGCTTTGCACATTGGGCAACGGAGTAGGTGGGGTTATAGTTGTATCTATAGCAGACCAGGTTTATGTAGCATTGACTGAATGACTCACATTCATGCATTACACAATCATCGGGCTGAATCGGCTACATGTTGGCGCCTGTTTTTTGAGACTATATGACGTTGCACAACACGAACAACTTGTGCGCTCTGTGCGCGTGTATGACGTAATTACGCGTGTGCGAGCGTGCGTGCTTCGGTACGCTAAAATGATGGTCTCTCGCTGGCCGCCTGTGCCAGCTCGTTTTTTGCAGAGAAGAGCCGTTGTAGACACGCGCTGCTGCTGCAGATCGAGAGAAGAGCGTGTGCATGGCGACCGTTGTTTCTACCGTCAGGAGCCGCAACTTGGCACCAATCCCGACTGTGAAAGTCTTCGTTTTCTGGTTGACAGGACGACGCCAACAAAACAAACTCGGTCCAGCTTACTCCAGCGAGGTCCAAGTCCTGCCGTACAAGGCGTTTACCTGTAGACGCTCGCTCGTTCATTTGCGGGAGCCGCCGAACCCCCAGCCAGCTCTCGCTGCCCACTCGGCTTGCCAGTAGTAGTCATGACTACAAAACTGGAGCCTCCTGAGTCCACGTCAGTCTCGCGCTGGCTGGCCGAGCTGCACATGGAATGTTACAAGAAGAACTTGGAGCACTTTGACAACGTGAAGGTGAGCGAAATGCAGCTACCTGTTGTATTGTAGCTCTTAGAGCTACATAGCTGCATGCAGTCAGCATTTATTGTACATTAGGTGACAAAGAAGGGAAATCCAGCAGTGTTGTAGTGTACACTGATGGCGCGGGCGTATCAAAGGAACGAGCGCCGCACTGACAGTAGCTAGCAGTGCATTTGGCGTTCGGCTCAGGCATTCCTGGCTGGGCAGGCTACGTGACTCGAAGTGTCAGTGTCGCAAGTACATTTCCATCTGCGCTACAATTAGCGGATTCCTACGGGCTTTGTAATTCTTTGGCCACTGGACTCGTTGTTTGAGTGTAGGGGCAGGTCTCACACCAGCCCGCAAGTCCGGTGAAGTGCTCCATGCACCAGCTCATGGCAAGTGGTTGTTTTAGATACATTCTTGGACACCTCTCCAGACTCTATTTTGGAACGTTTTCTCCTGTCCGCATGACTCTTGGCTTTTCACCGTCTAGCTGCACGCAGTATTACATGGTTGCCGAACAAACTACATCAAGTTATGCATGTCTGACTGACACAGAGCCTTGTATCTTAGTGCCTTTTTTAGTTGGACATAGACATGGATTGACGTTACGGTCAAAGAGAGCCGAGTGATCTTGAAGGGTGAGGGATATGGATTGCTACACAGTGGTGGCACTTGGATGCCGAGACTGCTCTGTTTGCAAACTGAGCTGAGCGTACCAGAATAGACAAAAAGTGAGAAGCATGGCGTTAAGCTCTTCAGTGATGTATCTGAAGGTGAGAATGCATTTCTAGGTGTTTCACCAGCCCATGAATCCCGAGGTAGATTTTGTTGGTGGCTATGACTATTGTGTGAGAAAACACGATCTTTGCTAATGACCCATGAATGAAGATGCACTAGTGGCACCGGGAAAGCAAAACGTTGGAGCCCACCCTCACTCTAATCCATACGCCCCTAGAATAATAAGTACTGCGCGTGGAGCCCTGTTCTTTGCATCTCAAGTCAGGGAAAGGTATGGTGTGGTAATACATGGTCTGCAGGACTGTGTGCATAGCAGCCGAACACAAATCAGTATTGCAGCAATAGATATGAGCTCTACTTATCATGGATGCAAGTCAAATAGGCGCCATAGTTAGCTAATTAGAGCAACAGTATTTTACCTATATACACATGTCCTTCCCTGTCACAAGTGCCCAGTGTGGAGATGTGCAAAGCTCGGCACTGCCAAATTGGCTTATTTGCATGTTCTTCTCATTGTGTCCTCAGCACACCACCCCCAACTGTGTCTCAATTCTTACCTGGAAACCACTGCATACCTCCTTCAATACAGTTATAGCTAACTCCTGCTGGGGCTCATGTGAGAGCATTACTGTGTTACCCACAGCCTCCTAGCACCAGTTGTGTGGAAGAAGGGTGTAATATGACAATGGAAACACATGGTTTATTCTGGGCGACATGTGTGTCAGGCATTGTGTGATGGGTTAGCAGTTAGCATTTGGGTGGATGATGTAAATTTTTAAACTAACTGGGCTTTTTGTGCATGTGCAAGGAGGTGGAAATGTTGTAGCAGTAACGACACCCACACAACCCTAACTCTGCCTTGATCAGGACAGGATCTTCAAAGCTCCACGTGCTTGTTGGGGTCAGCAATGTCAACCCCCCTCAGGCCACCTCCCTCAGCCCTCAAAAAGGGGACTGTTGACCGGTATTGTGAAGTGTGCACACAAAGAAAACTGATATCCATTGTGGTACTCTACTGGTCTGATGGCGAGGACTGCTGCGGTATCTGCATAGTTTGGGTTGTCATGGCTGCTGGAGTGAAGTGTTGTAATCAGGGACCTGCATAGTTTGGGTTGTCATGGCTGCTGAAGTGGAGGTGTTCTAATCAGGACGATCATCAAGGCTGGATTGAGGTTGCGTGTGTAAGCCACCCCCACCCCCTCCTTCACATCCTCTTCTCCTCTCTCATGCTCTCTCTCTGATAAGGAAGTAGGTCTCTTGGCTGACTAATTTTGCTGGTCATGAGCCTTGACAAGCCCAAAGATCAGGCAAGATGTCCTAAGTTAACTTCCTGAAAGAATAATAGATACATACAAACATGAGGATAAACAACTTCGATAAATTCGTTTTTAGTTGGGATAACCGGACTTAGAGTTTGATATGGTCCAGAGGCTGGTTGTGTTGGTGATGACCATGGAGAGGAGGAGACAGCTGTGCTGGGGCAGTGTTATGGGCAACTAGTGCCAAAACTAAAGGAGAGAGAATATTATAGTTCCATGTCCTAATGAGGTCCACTGACCCAGCCAACACCTCATGTCCTCGTACACATTACAATGTAACTCCACATCAGTCTTCAGACATTAGCGTAAACCTACATTACGGTCTACTTATAACGTACATGTGAACATACTCTACTATAGGGTAGAGGCAGGATAGGGTCCAAGGTATTGTGTGGTGTGCGTCCCCTGGAAATGCCCAGTTTATTAGTAGTAATTAGGGAGCTCTTTGATCAGTACCTGTATTATATTAGCTCTACCTGACATTATACTGTTCACGTATTGGAGCCAACGATTCATAATGTATGACCCGCTGTATTATGAATGCTGCTTGGCTGGTGGGCCTCCTGAACTGCTCATTCTGGACATACAAGGCTATGATGAAGAGCAGTCACTGATGTAACTGTAAACTGCTGGTACATATTATATATACAGTGGAACCTCTGTATAATGGACACATTAGGACCTGGCTTTTTCGAGATGTTGTCCTCTTTTAGAGGTTAAACATTTAATAGAGAAGTGGACCTCAAGGTATGTCTTTTATTGAGAGCGTTTTTTCCTTTATTCGGAGGTTCTACTGTAGAAGACTATAAGTTGAACTGCAGAATGGACCGACTATTATATATAGAACTACTGTAGAGACTATAAGTTGAACTGCAGAATGGACCGACTACTAGTATATAGAACTACTGTAGAAGACTATAGTTGACAGCATGCCATGGGACTACTATATATATAGAACACTACTGTAGAAGACTATAAGTTGAACTGCAGAATGGACCGACTATTATATATAGAACTACTGTAGAAGACTATAAGTTGAACTGCAGAATGGACCGACTACTAGTATATAGAACTACTGTAGAAGACTATAAGTTGAACTGCAGAATGGACCCGATATTATAATAGACTACTGTAGAAGACTATAAGTGAACTGACAGAATGACAGACGTACGAGTATATAGAAAACTACTGTTAGAATGACTATAAGTTGTGAACTGCAGATGGACCGACTACTGTATATAGAACTATACTGCTAGAGACTATAAGTGTGAACTGCAGAATGACCGACGATATATATATGCACTACTGTAGAAGACTATAAGTTGAACTGCAGAATGGGCCTCGACTACTACTAGATATATAGAACTACTGTAGAGACTATTAAGTTGAACGGCAGAATGGACCGACTATTATATAAGACACACTGATAGAAGACTATAAGTTGAACTGCAGCATGGACGACTATATATATACGAACTACTGTAGAAGACTATAAGGTGAACTGCCAGATGGACCGACTATTATATATACGAACTACTGTAGAGACTATACGTTGAACTGCAGAATGGATCCGACTATTATATATAGACACTCACTGTAGAAGACTATAAGTTGAACTGCAGAATGGACCGACTATTATATATAGAACTACTGTAGAAGACTATAAGTTGAACTGCAGAATGGACCGACTACTAGTATATAGAACTACTGTAGAAGACTATAAGTTGAACTGCAGAATGGACCGACTATTATATATAGAACTACTGTAGAAGACTATAAGTGGAACTGCAGAATGGACCGACTATATATATAGAACTACTGTAGAAGACATAAGTTGACTGCGAATTGGATGCCGACTATTATATATAGAATACTGTAGAAGACTATAAGTTGAAAAACGAATGAACCGAAATTCTATAAAACTGAGACGCTATAAGTTGAAATGCAGAAATGGACCGACTATTATATATAGAACATGTCAGAAGACTATAAGTTGAACGCAATGGACCGACAAAAAAACACAAAAACAAAAAACAAAACCCACTATATATATAGAACTACTGTAGAAGACTATAAGTTGAACTGCAGAATGGACCGACTACTAGTATATAGAACTACTATAAAAGGCTATAAGTTGAACTGCAGAATGGACCGACTCTTATATATACAGCTTGTGTGGCCTCTAAAGTACACACTCCAGTGCACCAGTTTTGATACATCACACAGCATCTGAACCAGTAAACAGCTCGGTTACATAGCACCCATCTAAGATCAATGCATTAAGATGGGTGACTTATAATTATATACAGCGAGGAAGGGTGCTACTAGTACAGTACCTGTGTGGTATGATTCGGACATTCCTGAGATTCCTAGTGTTAAACAACACGAGGAGCAGTAGGAAATGCCTTTCCCAGCCAAATGGATTAGTCCATTAACACAGTCCTGTGGTATAGACAGCATGCCTGACATTTGCCGAAAAATCATACCGTCTCCAATAATAATACCTCTGCTATAATATAGTTTCCAGCAAAAATCCACACACTACACAGATACCAGACACTTTAACCTTAAAAAAGTTTCAAGTTCTTCGATACAAAGGGTTTTTCTTTAAGAGACTCGTCACTGAAGGGTAAACAAGGTCGGCTGATTATATTCATGGCCACACATGTTGGAATGAATATGCTCTTGATAAGATCGTTTGTGATTGCGCAATGAATTCCGTTCCGGGCTCCTCGCTGTCTGAATGTAGTAGATGACCTGCCTGGCCACCATGCTCTCTCACTGCAATGAACAGTGGCTTGTTGTGTCGGGCATTCAAATGTTTGTTTTCCACTGTCCAGGGCTTGGGTTTTCCTGTTTTTTCTTTGTCTCTCACATTTGTTTAACTTATCTCTACTGTCTGCCCCCTTATTTCCTCTCTTCCTTCTTCCACTTAAGTTTTGCTGTTCTTTCTTGTCTAACTTATCTCTACTGTCTGCCCCTTATCCTCTCTCTTCCTTCTTCCTCATCCATCCTGTATCTATTTCTCGTCTCTCCTCTCCCTCCCCTCCTTCTCTTTCTCCCACCCTCTCTTCCTCCTTCTCTCAGCCTCTACTAGAGATAAAAGACCCAGAGCTGAAGAAGCTTGGAGTCACCAACAGCAAAGACCGCTCTGTTATGCTGGTCAGTCTCGCCAGCTACAGATCCCAGACGTCGTCGTCTTCAACTATCAGAGAGGAATCTAACCCTAGCCCAGGTGAAAACTAACACCATCCCCTCTCTCCCACTTGTCATAATACTAGGAGCTCCCCACACTAATAGATATAATTGCCTAGCGCATTAGCGCAAGGCACCTTAATTCTGCAGTACAGGTCTGTATAGTATGTGTAAGTATCAACAACGTATTGATATGCAACGAGGTAGAAAGGCAAGGCAAAGCACAACAGGTCAACTGTATTGTATGTATGTCCCTCATGCCCTTCTACGCATGCGCGCAGACGGAGCATGACTTCCTGCCGGCTGCAAACCATGCCACACACGAGAGTACTGGCACGTCTCGGCCAAGTACACACAACTCCTCTTCGGTGATTTCCACTTGCGCGCGAGGCACACAAGTCTGCGCACACTAGTTTATATGTCTGCAGGCACGCCTGTACGACATCACGTACAGTCGCATGTGTGTTTATAGCCAGCAATGCAGGCTCTGGTAGACTCCTCCACTTGCCCTGTCACACCTCTTCAAACACATGTAAGAGGAGTAGGGCACCTCCTTACCCTCCTATGCGTGGAGAACACAACTGCGTGGTGTGCGTCGTGTGCAGCGGGATTTACTGCTGCATGATGAATGTGTAGTCACAGTGCGTTGTGGTGAGTCTCTGTGTGATACACGCCCACACACACACACGAGCGCGCACAGAGCGCGACGGCCGCAGATGCAGAGCGCAGACGCACGCGCTCGACTCCTCTCCTCCAGTACAGTTTTTGTGTAGAGCTCACTCCACTGCTGACTCAAAAAGCTGTCTCCAGAAGAAGGTCCCTTAGAAAGTGACGCCACCACACCCCGCTGACGAGCGCGCCCACGTGACTATCTCTCATACCACTAGACCCACGCTTGGCACTAAACAGAGACACAGTCTTTAGAAGTACGTTCTGAGTCTGAGTATTTACTACACCCTGCATATTACTGACACGTGAGATAACAGCAGAAAGCAAAGAAAGCTATACCAGCATGTACACCCCGCGCGCGTAGCAGCACAAAACTTGGCCACCAAATCCAGATGCACATCCACAAACCATAACTGAGCTTTGTTACTGTGTGTGGCGAAGCTGTGTGCCTGGGATGAGTGAGAGCAGTGCAAGCATGTGGCAACAAAAGAAGAGCCAGCACAGCCAATGTGTTGTAATAATAGCACCAGTTGATCCTTCTATACACTTGCTGCTACAATCTGTACAGGTGGTCCATCTCAGTGGCGAATGTTGCGTGGTGTTGTGGATATCACATTCTATAGACACATTTGACTGCGGCTGTTATGGAATTCCCTGCAAATCTCTCCATTCTTTCGCCCGACATTCCGGTCTATCCTCATTTGCCCACATCAAAAGTTGACAAAACCACAATGTTTTAGTTAACAACTCCAAGAATGCTAGCGGATTGGAAGGTTACTTGTGTTTTCCTGTGAGTTGGTACTCACGAATCGTTGTGATTGGAACCAGAAAACATGGGAACATTCTGGTTACAATGTTACACATGTTTTTTCGGTTAGATGCTGCTAGCAGTGTCCCACAGGATCAACAGTGTTAAGTCTTCGTACGAGTATTCATGTTAATTTTAGGTGACCACAGATGTTAGATCCTGATTCAGCTAACACAATTAACAAAAAGCATTTTCAGTCCATGATAAACTCAGAAAAGTAGAAATCAAAAAAGCCATTTACAGTGGTTAAGACCTATACTAATGGTTGATTCCTGTGACAGGTGAGGTTCAACAGAGGTCACAACAATTGGTATTGTGAGGACAATTAAGGTTAACAAACCAGTTTCATCTCAAATGGCACAAGAGAATTTATTAAAAACTCTAGCCATACTTTAAAAACCTTTCTCTCCGGTCCTAAATAGAACTGCTGTAGGATCTTTGCCAAACAAACCGACATCTTTGTTGTGTGGCGCACCAAAGAGTTCACGAAAATCAAAATCGTCTCCCGCCAAAAACCGTGGCACCGGAGAGCAGCATTCTTAGTCACAAGTCTCGGCAGAATTGGAGACAGAGGAACAGAAACTTGTCACGCCACCGCCTCAATACCTGTTGGCTATATCGACCTCCAAATTATCTCATAGCGCCGATGCTGAGAGCATTCCCGTATTGGGGGCCACTAGCGTCCGTCCGCCCCCGGCAATGTGGCTGTAGCTTCTTTCGCCAAAGAAGAGAGAGGACTGCACACCGCTCATGCCCGGTGCCCTGGAGCCAGTTGGCAGAGCGCTCGCATCGACTGAAGAGTGTCGTAGCTTGATAATCTCACCGGGACGATCTTCTTCTTTTCTGGTGAAAAGGAAA